TTTTCTTCTGGAAAACAAGTCGAGCATGTTGAAAATCTGCCTCGACCGGTGGTCAAGCATGTTGAAACCCTGCATCAGCCATGGAACGGACGGGTTGTCCACCTGCCCGTTCCATCCTCCAGGAATGCTCGCAACATGCTCGTCCTCCTGTCTAAGCATGTTTTCAACATGCTCGACCCATGGTTCTTTCTTGTTTTTAACATGCCCGTCCCTCGGTCTGGTTTAGTTTTGAACATGCTCGAGTTAACTTTGTGATGTCATAAACCTTTTTTAATGAAAATTCACATAAATTATAATATTTATGATCATTAAGTTTCGTTGTTAATTGTGTTTATTAGGAAGGCGGATAAAAATCTTGTGCCACCATCATTTACTAACAAGGAAACTATTATGGATGATTCGGTAAGTAGTTATTTTTTATAATTTAATTATCGTAACATAATTGTTGCACAACTAAATGTTTTTACCTTGTATTTCTTGTAGGGTGGATCTGGAGTTAATGAGGGTGACAATGTTGATTGCACATCATTGTTTCTAAGTGATGTTTATGATACCCATGATCAAGCTTGTAAAGCGGCAAAGGAGATTGCCATGAGTAATAGTTTTTCCTTGATAGTGGCATCAGTCAAGAGAAACCTTGGAGAAGGCAATCCGCGGATCTATATGGATTGCAACCATGGTAGTAGGAGCAACTCATATACGTCTGATCCCGCAAAGACAACACGGAGCAAATCTACAACAGGCAAGTTAGGTTGTCGTTTCCGAGTGGTGGTGCAATCCGTAAAAATAGATGGCAAGTGTAAGTGGAGAATTCATGGGATTAAGTCGAGGGGATTTCACAGTCACAGATTAGAGGTTTACTCTGAGGGAAGCAGGCAAAAGAATGCTCTTTCGCAGGTGGAAAAAATGAATATTAAGGAGTTGGAGGCAACACATACTCAGGCGAAAGATATCAGAAATTTGCTCAATATGAAGTACGATGCTCATCACAACATGACTCAGATTTATAATGAGACAGCAAAAATTAGGCGTGAGAGATTGGGTGGGTTGAAACCTATGCGGTGGACATTGATAGAAGCTCAACGTCTTGGCTACTTTATTGAGTGTGAATTTGATGATCAACGTCGTGTTACTAGACTCTTCCTATGCCATCCTGAGTCGATTCGGATGTTGTTGGCATGGTATTTTGTTGTTTTGATAGACTCGACATACAAGACTAACAAGTATAAGCAGCCACTGGTTCAGTTGATTGGTGTTAGTCCGGTGAAGAAGAACTTCAACATTGGGTTCGCATTGATTTCAGATGAGACGAAGGAGACATATGCTTAGGTTTTGATGCAATTGAAGATTGTGCTTGGTGATCGAACCCCGGTTGCGTTCGTCACAGACAAGGCGGGAGGATTGGATGTCTCTTTGCAACAGATCTTTCCATCTTCAGCTTATTTACTAGATTGATTATGTTATTGATGTGTCTAGTGTGTGTTTATGTTCAAATTTGTGTGGATTTAGGTGCAATTATCAAGGATTGACATTTTGTGTTAAAATGTATGTGATTTTAGGTGGAATTAATCAATGATTTTGTGTTCAAATTTATGTGGATTTAGTTGAAATTAATCAATTGTGTTCACAATTATTGTTGCTGAAAAAATAGACTAGGCAGGTTGAAAACCTGCCTGCACCACGGACCAAACATTTCACCTACCCATCTTCACCGTGGGTTGAGCATGTTGCACACCCACCTGACGGATGGTGCAGGAATATACCCTTCCAGCACAGGCCGTGGACAAAGCATGTTGTGAACCCGCCTTCCTGGAGGTGCGAGCATATATCCTACCCGCCCTTCCGGAGGTCGAGCCATATTTTCTACCCTTCTGACCGCTGGTTGAGCCATATTCCCTACCCGCCCGATGGTTAAAAATTGTTGTTTGTTGTGTTTTTTGTTAGATATATAAGTAGTGGTTAAAATTTTTAATTAGTATATAAACACTCAAACATAACACATCCAAATGTACCTTAAGAAATATTCAACATCAATCTTAAGAAATATCCAACAACAAAACATAAAATATACAACATCCAAATGTACCTTAACAAATATCCAACATCAAAACATAAAATATCCACCATCCAAAACACAAACAAACTAGAACTCAACATCTAAACAACAATGTTCAACATTGAACAACAACTAGGTGAATGGGCGATACGGTCTCTGTTCCCTAAAGTCAACGTACTTGTCACGAACCCGTCGAACCAAATCACCATAGGCACCCAACCTGTCAAGATCCACATCAGGAGCACGAAGCATGAGGGGGAGGATCCACTGCAGCTTGACGACGCGAAAGCTTCTCCTGACGCTCCTCCTCACGAAGTCTATCTGACTCCTCCTGACGTTTTTTCCGCTCAGATACTGTAACGTTCCGTCCGAGAACCCTCGATTTTTCCTTGCCCCTTCTTTCGCTCATTGTTGCCTGCTATCAAGAAAATAAAATTATTTATTTTCAGAATTGTAATTGACAACCATACATCTTTTAACTATACATAATAATTATTTACAACCATAAAATTTATGAATTATAATACAAATTATATTTTCAAATACAAATTATATTAATCATCACAATTCATATACTAATTCTTACCCTTTCTTTCACTTATTTTTACCAACTATCAAGAAAATAAAATTAATTCTTCTTAATATTGCAATTAACAATCCTATATTCATTAACTATTTATAATCATTATTAACAATCAACAACTTTTTCAATTCAAACACTACTTATATTGTCAAATGCTAATTAACATCCTCTCATCACACAGCAACCGCAACAAACAGATTCTTTTCTTCCTTCCCATTATAAAAGGTCATATACTGATTATAATTTACCATTCAAATTTATATATTATTAATTAAAATGTAATATCTGCATGGAAAACATAATTTTGATGAAGGTAGGTCCAAAATACCAACAGAACCGTGAACAAAAGGCACATGCAGAAGGTCACTGAAACGCTAGTGATCTTCCACTAGCTCAGCGGAAATAGACATCAAACAAATGCAATCAACATCCACACATGGAAAACAAAGGAAAAAAGTAGAATGCGGCCTAAAGATTCAGTATCTTAACAGATAGAAAATAAGATGAGAGTGTGGGGCAGAGCAATATGCAGAACAGTCTAAAGGAGCACCCTATGAACCCTCAATTCGTGACAACAGATATAACGAAGGCACGATATCATCTCTCATTAGGGATCTAAGCGTGAAAAGGGTGCAAAATCAACCAACGAGCAGGCAGCCAACCCAAAAGCCAACTACAAAATTACCACCAACAGAAACCATTGAAAAAAGCCACGAATCCTTCCCCAACCTGACCATCCTGTACCACTGCACCGAGATAATACCGCAAATCCAACGTGCACCATGGCAGGGCGGGTCAGAGACCGGATCGGACCAGGGTCGGGGCAGGTGGGCTACCTGGCTCCGCCGGATCTGCGCGGGTGCCCTGCCTGCGTCTACCCCGACCCAAATCGACGCCCTACCTGCCTCTAGCCACTAGCGACGGGTTTTCAACCCGCAACGTCGGCGCAACTCAACCAAACGAGAAGAGAGGGAGAGAGAGATTTACCTCTGGCGGGTTTGAGCAGAAGCAGAGGGCTAGAGGCGGACGATTAACAAGTCGAGCTTCTCCTTCCTCCTCGGCGACAGTGCGGCGGATCTGGGCTTGGGCGAAGATGCTGGCGGCGACGGGTCTGGGTGGCGGCGACGGGTCTTGGTGGTGGAGGCGAGTCTGGGTGAGGGTGGCGGCGACTTCCTCTTGGTGCTAACCCGAAGCGAAGTCGATGACCTGGGAAACGAAGAGGAGAGTGACGGGGCAGAGATAAACGAATGAGTTCTTCTCAATTGAGAAAGGAGGAGCTTCGGCGGCGACTTCCTCTCCTCCTGGATGGCGCCGGAGCTCTGGGTGAGGGGTGAGGGTGGCGGAGCTCTGGGTGAGGGGTAAGGGACGGCAGGGTCTGGGTGGCGGCAGGTTCTGTTTTGGGGGAAAATAGGGTAAGGGACGGGTGGGTCAATTTAGGGTTTAGGTTAAATGAGGGGTAAACTTGTCCATGTATGTAAGTTTAGGGCTATAAATTCAAAAACTTAGGGCTACAAATAGAAATCCAGTTAATTTGGGCTGGTTAATGGGTTAGATAAGAATTTTGATGATGTGGCAGGTCGGGTATAAATTTTTTAAGTTAAAATAGGCTGATTGGACGATTTTGTTTGCCACGTCAGCAGAAACTAACATCGGAAGCTAACGGAGAGTGACCAACCATGACATATTTTAGTGAACACGAATGGAATTAAATATTTTCAGTGACCAAACATGAACGTTTTTTGTAATCTCAGTGACCAGCCTTGCAATTAACCCAAATAAATAGTGCTCCATTAAATTTGTTGGATAACGTTAACATGTTCTTACTGTACAATACGTTGTGATTTATAATTACTTCAATTTATTATTTATACGTACAAATTAAGACAATAATTATAATCCATCCAGTTTACATATTATTGAACTTATCTGAAGTAGATTATAAGCATGTAATAAAATGGATCGTATTAATGTAGGACGATTTAAGTTGGGGGTAAAATCTAACATGGACGAAATTTCATTAGGACTGTGTTTGAATATTCATTATTGGTCAGCCAATTGATGAAACAATGGTCGGTGTAGTACAATATCCTCTGCTAGATTGACATTTAAGTGTATGATGACACCTGAATTAGTAACAGTGTCTGCAAATCGAAGAGCATACTTTCTTTTTGTTAGAAACTGTTCACCTGATGCTGAGATCAGTAACAAAGTCGAATCTGATTTGGGAATCTGTAATTCTGAAACAAGCAGAAAATGGAAACAGAATGGTGGTTTAAACAGAACATAGCGTTACACAACTGAGACTACAACAACAATCAAAAGCAAAAACGTACTATTGGATTCTGACGCACAAACTAAGACCTAAGTTGGAGGAAGGAAATGACCTTGTTCATAACCATCAAACAACATCACCAACGATGCCAAGCCTGAAAACACAGCTACACCAAACGCAACAAGCCACCCACAACTCTTCTTATTCTGGTATCCTTTCTCAAAGCAATCACTTTCCGGGTCGGTTTTCTTCTCTGCAACCACCAGTTCTACAACTTGATCTGCATCTATAGTGGCAGCATCCTCTGTTGAAGAAACAGATTCATCCACATCCTCATACATCTCGTCACCCCGCCACCATACGACTCTTCATTCTCATCAGATGCATAACCATTGTTATGGTGCAGAAACCCATTTTGGTTGAGCTTTGAAGTTGGATCGGCATCCTGATACATCCCCTCACCACCAGCATACGACTCACCTTTCTCATCAGATGCATAACCGTTGTTATGGCCGAGAAATTCATTTTGACTGAGCTTTGAAGTTGGGCTGTTTTCGTGTTGGCATGAACACGGCCCTCTGAACCTCCTACCTTGTCTCGAGTAGGATTCTGAATCGGCATCTTGGAGAGAGCGTATGAGCTTCCTTGGACTCGTGAACATGTTGATGTTGTCAACGTTCAGGTGAGAACGTGGTGACCTCTGAATGATATTGACAAAAAATAATGCCGATTAGGACTGGGAAGCAATCAAATAATCATATCAAAAGTCCCAGCATACTGAAGGTTTGTTTGTGCGTCATTTCCTTGGCAAGTATAGCATGATGAAACTGTGAAATTAGGAGTGCAGCAAGTTACCTGGGGACTTGGAGTGCAGCTCCTGGCCGCTACATTTTGTGGAGTCCTTGGCAAGAAGCCTGAGAATTCCCCTTCGTGATGATCCCCATTTTCAGTCGAGCTATGGCGCCTAGCATGACCAGAAGATGCATTCTTGATGGTACTATTTCCTCGAGCAAGTTCTGAAAACAAACCATCTTTCAGAGACACATCAACTCCTCCATTCTCATGACTCCACAGTTTACGAGTCACACTCCTGCTGTCAAACTCACTCCCACCACAGTCATACTCCAGGACACGAGATGTCGGAGTTCTTGACAGAGGTGAACCAATCATGGATTCGTAGTCCATGAACGAGCCAAGTGTCTGAGATTCTGGCGTACTAGACAAATTCCCCCTTCTTCTATGATCTTTCCTGCTCAAGTTGTTAGACCCTGTGACAGAACCAGAACCAGAACTCTTGTCGAACTTCAACCCCTCATCTGCAATCTTCTTAGCAGTCTGCATAGCTTCAAAGGCAGCGCCTTTCACATAAGCCATCTGATCAAATTGACACTTTTCCATCTCCTCTATAATCAAACCAAGGGTGGAGACTATGCTTCTGGCATCCAAACACTTCATCATGAAATTCACCATCTGAATTGCTGAAAGCCTCTTCTGTGAATTGCTACCACAGTCTTGGTAACCTGAATTCAGGATTCTCAATCCTGACTGAATCAACAATCTAGCATATGCTTCAACTATCAAAGCATTACGCTTCGACAAAGACATTACTAAAGCCATATGGGAATTAGACTGTGTTGACTTCTCTTCAAGAGCAACAGCCACATTCTGGCAAACTTTGTTCACCATCTCATCAGAGGCGAATCTCCAGTTGTCACAGTCAACAAGTGCCTTCAAGCAAAGGGCAGCTCCTGAACTAAGGCACTCCTGAGTGGCCAATAAAGCTTCAACAAGTGGCTTGCATAGGGAATGTATTATACGCCTCTTCTCTTCTTCACGAGTACCAGGTTCGATACCATATCGAGCAATGGCAGGGACCACTTTGGAGCAGGCTTGTTGGAGAGGGAAAGACACCCCACTCGCTGACAGTGTGTTGATGACTGTGGTCATGATGGTGTCTATGAGAGGGACGATTCTGGGTCCGTGAACTCGGGCGAGGACTTCATAGAGGGAGATGGTGTATTCTCCAGATAAAGAACCGGTTTCTTTGGTCTCCGAAACCTGGGCGAGAAACAGCGGGATTGCCCTTGCGTCCATGTCTTTGACATAAGATTTCAACGCCTTCATTGCTGATTTCCGACTATCAGCATCTTTGTCTAGATTTGCCAACTCTCTTTTGAAAATTGGGGCCAGGCTTGTACCACCAACCATTGCCGGACCTGGATCCCAAAAGGAAACATAATCAACAAACCTGTCATAAAGCGTTTCAAATCAACTACAAGCTTCAAACGTCGACATAAATGTACCAAGAATCCAGCAAACCCACAATCGATGAAACCCAAATTGGACGACGAAATTACAATTCAATGACCAGTCTCCATTATCAAACCAAAATTACAGCGGAAGAACACAAGGGAAGAACTGGGTATCTAAGCTTTGTCCTTTAACAACAAATTAGAGGAATGCGAGAGAGAAAAAAAACGTATTTATGAAAACCCACCTTGTGGATTGCCTTTGTCGAGGCTTTACTCCGCCTATAGGTTCTACTTTCTCCTTCTTCTGGTTGACCCAGCCGTTCTGTTGCAGAAGTCCGGCTTCCGATTCCGACAAACGAAAGAGAGCGAAAAAAAGATTTGAACTTTTCGGAAATTTTGAAAAACGAGAAGTTTTGCTTGCCCTGTGGGTACAGAATCTGTAGAGAGAGAAGTAGAGAACAGTGAAGTGGGTAGGGTTTTGAATTTTTTGGGTTGCCTCGCTCGGTTATGTATTGAAATTTGAAAGCGCGGTATTTTATGGTTATGAATGCGATCGGGATTTTGTTTTTATTCTTTATTTATTTTACTTCTTTGTTTTCATCCGGCAGCGTGCAGGACAGGCGGTCCTTCGTCTAATTCAAATCTTTTTTACCCCGCTGCCCTCTCCACAACGCTTTGACGATCATACCCTTGAGGTTTATCTTCCATAATAAGGGTTCGTTTGAATTAGGGCTCGTTTGCTTGTTGGATTTGAAAATTTTGAATTTTGAAAATCTTTGGATTTATGATGTATTTATTGCATTTTGTATTTGAAAGATAACATTGTTTGTTTAGTTGAATTTTTATCATGGATTTAGTTCATCTGATATTTGGGTCTCAAAAATTTGCATTCCATAGTGTGGTATTTGCAAATACGTGGGGTCCACGGATTTGAAACTAAAAAAGGATCCAAATCTGTGGGCCCCACATATTTGTATACCTCAACAAACAATATTTTTTCATCAAATACATAATGCTTGGTATTTGGGTTCCAATACAACACCAAAATCCCACAAGCAAACGATCTCTTAGTGAATGTGATGAGAGTTTTTAAAACAATTCCTCGTTATGCAGGATTTTAAAATAAATTTGCGTATGGAAAGATGAGAGATTGTTGGCATGAGGAAATTCTAAATCTCTCACATGAGAGTTTTCAAAATAGCTAATGGGGATCAACTACTTTAAAATCACTATTTTTTCTCACTCTATTTCAAATCTTGCCCCTCCCTTATCGGGTTAAGATCACGGTCTCAGCTCACGGTTGTGAACTCAAGACGGGGGCCGTGATCTCGGCCCAAAACGTGTCGCTTCACTAACTCAGTTCACGGTCATTGGCTTGAGTTCACGGTCTTACGACCGTGGCTTGAGTCAAGTGAGACCGAAAACTTCTATGGAACCTTCGCACTTCACGGTCTCAGGGCATTTGTCACGGTCTACCGACCGTGACAGTTGCGCTTTGGACTTTTCTTCACTTTTTCGCGCTTTTCGACCTCCAATCGACCCGAAACTTGTCCTCGACCTTCCCACACGTGCTAGGACCTGAAATATGACAAAAACAAGCACACCCTAGCGTAAAATAGGTCGAGAGACGATGAAATGCAAAGTCAAATTATCAAGAAATGAGTGATAAAATGTGTGCATTTAGACCCAAATCACTCCCCCACACTTGAACGTTTGCTTGTCCCCAAGCAAACCAATCTCAAACAAGGTAATTTTTCAACCTAGCATAATAACTTGGGGACACATCAAAGGGCACAAAGTGGGCGAATCTCAATGGCTATTGGGCATCAACAGGAACCATTACAAGCAATATCAGCATCCACCACAAACGAAATTCGAATGCATTAAGAACATGCAACCGAAAAGTTCTCACCCTGTTCACAAATAAATGCAAGTCTCGACAAGACTACTCACCAACCACACTAACTATGCATAGAGTTCAATTCCAAGGAACAAACGAATGGCGACATAGGTCCTCACCGGGATAAGATATGAACATGCAAAATGTGAATGAATCACTCACTCTCGACCAATGGGGACAGGACCAGTTGGTGCAAAAGATGTGCACAATCATCAACACTCAGCCCTATCGTCTCTTCACCATGGCGACAACCTCTAAACGCTAGAGTTCACAAGATGGTTGTCATCACTAGCTTGTTCGGAGGTCTTAGACTCGAGTTCAAATGATTGGCAATTGTCTTGGACATGGGGAATATGCCTTTTTGGGTGGTGGAAAACCTGGCATGAGGGCCTGCATCTTCAACCTAAAACCAAAGGTTCTATGGTTTCGACTAAGAACCTTTCCTACATTCGACGGCCACTAGCATTGGCCAAATACCACACTTCCCTTCTTCCAAACCACTACCAATCACGAACTACATTCAAGCACACCTCTTTGGCCCATCTTGCTATCCACATTTCAAACCTAGTAGTGAAGGAGGTTATCAAACATTTTAGGTGTTTCAATGGCTTGAGTGCCAAGAAACCCTTATTGGAGCATACACTTAGAGTTTTGTGGCCACTCTTTACTTTTATTTACCCCGTTTTATTACCTTTTTCGTCTTGTTTCTTTTCTTTTGCTCCTTCTTTCCTTTTCTCTTTTCTTTTTTCGAGGGGGGGGGGGGTACTAGATAATACAACACATGCCACTTATCCTTAAACGAACAATCCTCTCCATTAAGAATTTTCCTCCAACACTACCTTTCCATTTCCAGCAAGAACCGTGCAAAAGCCACCTATGTAGAACCTCAATGGAGCTCAAAAGCAAGAACTCCGAGACACAAGGATGACTCACACTTTGACACAAAGAAAGGATGTGGGTAGTTCTTTCAATCACCATTAAGCTCAACAAGCACGAAGCTCCTAGCATTAGAACGACTCCCAAAGTCGCACGGCTCAAAGGAGTTGACTAGGGGATAAGATGTTTCCGGACGATTAACTTTTGGGCTTGGACTAATCCTATGCCTCCATCATACTTACTAGTGACAACGATGAATGTTGCTTGCCATGGTAAGAGGGATCTAAGCACACAAGAAGACGATCGACACAAAACTCACATGGCTACCTAGCCACCCAATCATCTATTCCAATTCACAAATTTCAATGCATGGCAATTGCAATCAAAGAGTAATCAAGTCAAGACATCCATTCATTTCCGCACACATGAGAACTAAACATTTGCACTATCCTAATGCAATTCTCAATAATCATAATATGGATGTCCTCGATCACAAGTAAACAATTCAAGGTCAATGCCAATAAACATGAGATTCTCCCACACACCGGCCACTTTGATCATGCAATGCTTGGAGCCCTCAAATTTTTAAAATTTGGGCATACATCAAGGCTCCAAGTGCTCAATCACACACACAAGCATAATAGATAGACTACCCCCCCCCCCACACACACACTTAAGTTCGTCACTGCCCTCAATGGCGTAAAATAAGGGGTAGAACGATGTTACCGCATAGCTTGGCGAGTGAAAGTCGGGACGAAATCGGGCCGAAATGAAGGGAGAGAGCTTCAAGGAGACAAAAACAAAAATAAACACACACATACTCGCGCAAGGTAACTCACTCCTACTGTCACTCTGGAAAATGGCCAAGTGCAACCACTTCCTAAAGCGTAGTATAGCGGGTTTGGGTTTTATTGTCAACCCGGGTCCTAGATGTGATGTCTACTCGGTGAATTCTTGTTATTTAGCGGTGAACTTTTAGTGCAACTCAAGCAAACAAAACACAAAGCAAGCAAACGGTTGTTGTCAAGTCAAGAGAGGTCACCCGGATATGGTTCCCCCTAGACTGCAGTTAAGTCAGATTGCAATTTACCAAGTTCAGTTTTCATGAAAGTTATACTGCGGAAGGTTCTCAATTAGCCTGAAGTCTCGATTAAAGGTCTCCAGACCCTCTCAATCTGAGTCTCTAGCGGGCGACTAACCTCCACCAGAGTAAACAGATTGAGGCCCTAACGAACCAAACCTCCACTACAGAATTGAATTCGGTACAGAATAGCGAATTGGCTCCTCGACTAAAGTCACCAATTCGCCACCTTCGATTAAGGGTACTCTATCAACCTAGGCAGATATTCTCATTCTAGGTCAAAGCAGGAACAACAGGAATTTGATCAGGATTCAAGTCATTCAATCATTCAAACCTCAATCGAATATAATCAATTCACAAACTCTGTACTTGGGTTCATACAATCAGACCTAGCATACAAATCTAGGGTTCTCCATACCCAGATGAATGGGGAAACTACTCCATAGAGAAAGAAGCAAAAGCAGATTCAGACGCGGAAATCATACTGTGAAGATGGATTCCTGCTCCTGGACGTTTAATCGCACTTCTCCAAGCTCAAACCGGGCTCCAATGGTGTTGAAGATCGATCTATGGCGCTTGGGAACTCTGGTTCGTCGCTTTCTCTCTCTAGGTATCGCTTTCTCTCTCAAAAACTCGGAACCCTTTGAAAATTGGCCTTCTTTCTCTTTTATCAGCTGCCCTCGCGATACCCGGTCGGGTATTTAAGGGTTCGACCGGGTATTGTCCAAACGCGCCGTTTCATTAAAGGGGAAAATCCCCGGTCTGTCCTCATAATCCCCGACCGGGGATTTAAGGCATTTGCCCGGGCCCCCCTCTGTTTCTCACGGGTGCCGAGAACGATAAATACCCGGTCGGGTATTTTGCCACCCGACCGGGTATTTTCCTCCTTCAGCCCACTTTGTCCCAACTTCGCTCCTTTCGACCCAGAACTTGTTTCTCCGCCTCGATTCCAACGCCGGGACCTGAAATATGACATAAACACACACCCTAGCGTGAAATCGGCTTAAAACACTAGAATCCACATCTCAAACGGCTTCAGAAAAGGGGTGAAAACATGTGTAAATGTCGGTCTATCAAACTCCCCCACACTTAACCGTTTGCTTGTCCCTAAGCAAACCTAACTCAAACCAATGCAGCTCTCCAGACCTCTATAGCAACAAACAACCTCGATCGTAGGTAGAGGACTTCCTAGATCATTTAGCAACTTACGAGGTTAACCGACGCACAAGTCATCTCATAACTTCTTCGGCGAGAACGCTAGTCTCGAATCGGCATCATGGCAAATAGTGAACAGAGGACAAATGAATCATGGATGAAGAAACTCTCACAAACAAAAGATCATGGACTCACATTAATTCAAGGTGCTCGATTTTCTTTGTGAACCTGGTTGGAACCCTTTTCTTTCTTCTTTTTGCTTGTTTTTCTGTTTTTCTTTTTTTCACGGGTTCCAACCTGTTTCTGCAGAAAACGGGGGCTCCCATCTAGCAAAGGTTTTGTGGGAGCCCGGATCTTACCGGCCATGCCAGGAGCGGGTGTCTCGAGCCTCGTGCGAGGGAAAGACATGTAAGGGGGCTGGAGGTAGTAGGTGGAAATTGGGAACGGATTCCCGTC